GGGGAATGTTCCATGCGCACTTGAGAAGAAAGTGTAATCTGCTGTTTTTGGATGGAATGGCCTATAAATATCAATTAAATCTATCTGGTCAATTGTGTCATTTAAAGCTTCTGTGTCCTTATTTATTTTCATTTTGGATGATCTGTCCATTGGTGTAAGTGAGGTGTTAAAGTCTCCCACTATTATTGTGTTACTGTCGACTTCCTCTTTTATAGCTGTTAGCAGTTGCCTTATGTATTGATGTGCTCCTATGTTGGGTGCATATATATTTATAATTGTTACATCTTCTTCTTGGATTGATCCCTTGACCATTATGTAGTGTCCTTCCTTGTCTCTTGTAACATCCTTTATTTTAAAGCCTATTTTATCTGATATGAGTATTGCTACTCCAGCTTTCTTTTGATTTCCATTTGCATGGAATATCTTTTTTCACCCCCTCACTTTCAGTCTGTATGTGTCCCTAGGTCTGAAGTGGGACTCCTGTAGATAGCATATAGATGGGTCTTGTTTTTGTATCCATTCAGCAAGCCTGTGTTTTTTGTTTGGAGCATTTAATCCATTCACGTTTAAGGTAGTTACCAGTATGTATGTTCCTATGATCATTTTCTTAATTGTTTTGCGTTTGTTTTTGTAGGTCCTTTTCTTCTCTTGTGTTTCCCACTTAGAGAAGTTCCTTTAGCATATGTTGTAGAGCTGGTTTGGTGGTGCTGAATTCTCTTAACTTTTGCGTGTCTGTAACGCTTTTGATTTCTCCATTGAATCTGAATGAGATCCTTGCTGGGTAGAGTAATCTTGGTTGTAGGTTCTTCCCTTTCATCACTTTAAATATGCCATGTCACTTCCTGCTGGCTTGTAGAGTTTCTGCTGAGAAATCAGCTGCTAACCTTATGGGAGTTCCCTTGTATGTTATTTGCCATTTTTCCCTTGCTGCTTTCAATAATTTTTCTTTGTCTTTAATCTTTGCCAGTTTGATTACTATGTGTCTTGGCGTGTTTCTCCCAGGGTTTATCCTGTATGGGACTCTCTGCGCTTCCTGGACTTGGGTGGCTATTTCCTTTCCCATGTTAGGGAAGTTTTCGACTATAATCTCTTCAAATATTTTCTCGGGTCCTTTCTCTCTCTCTTCTCCTTCTGGGACCCCTTTAATGCGAATGTTGTTGCTTTTAATGTTGTCCCAGAGGTCTCTTAGGCTGTCTTCATTTCTTTTTATTCTTTTTTGTTTATTCTGTTCCACAGCAGTGAATTCCACCATTCTGTCTTCCAGGTCACTCATCTGTTCTTCTGCCTCAGTTACTCCGCTATTGATTCCTTCTAGTGTATTTTTCATTTCAGTTATTGTATTGTTCATCTCTGTTTGTTTGTTCTTTAATTCTTCTAGGTCACTGTTAAACGTTTCTTGCATCTTCTCGTTCTTTGCCTCCATTCTTTTCCTGAGGTCCTGCAACATCTTCACTATCATTATTCTGAATTCTTTTTCTGGAAGGTTGCCTATCTCCAGTTCATTTAGTTGTTTTTCTGGGGTTTTACCTTGTTCCTTCATCTGGTACATAGCCCTTTGCCTTTACATCTTGTCTATCATTCTGTGAATGTGGTTTTTGTTCCTCAGGCTGCAGGATTGTAGTTCTTTTTGCTTCTGCTGTCTGCACTCTCCTCAATGAGGCTATCTAAGAGGCTTGTGCAAGTTTCCTGATGGGAGGGACCGGTGGTGGGTAGAGCTGGCTGTTGCTCTGGTGGGCAGAGCTCAGTAAAACTTTAATCCACTTGACTGCTGATGGGTGGGGCTGGGTTCCCTCCCTGTTGGTTGTTTGGCCTGAGGCAACCCAACACTGGAGCCTACCTGGGCTCTTTGGTGGGGCTAATGGTGGACTCGGGGAGGGCTCACGCCAAGGAGTACTTCCCAGAAGTTCTGCTGCCAGTGTCCTTGTCCCCACGGTGAGCCACACCTACCCCCCGCCTCTGCAGGAGACCCTCCAACACTAGCAGGTAGGTCTGGTTCAGTCCCCCCTGGGGTCACTGCTCCTTCCCCTGGGTCCCAATGCTCACACTACTTTGTGTGTGCCCTCCAAGAGTGGAGTCTCTGTTTCCCCCAGTCCTGTTGAAGTCCTGCAATCAAATCCCACTAGGCTTCAAAGTCTGATTCTCTAGGAATTCCTCCTCCCATTGCTGGACCCCCTGGTTGGGAACTCTGACGTGGGGCTCAGAACCTTCACTCCAGTGGGTGGACGTCTGTGGTATAAGTGTTCTCCAGTCTGTGAGTCACCCACCCAGCAATTATGGGATTTGATTTAACTGTGATTGCACCCCTCCTACCATCTCATTGTGGCTTCTCCTTTGTCTTTGGATGTGGGGTATCTTTTTTGGTGAGTTCCAGTGTCTTCCTGTCAATGTTTGTCCAGCAGCTAGTTGTGATTCCGGTGTTCTCGCAAGAGGGAGTGAGAGCACGTCCTTCTATTCCACCATCTCGGTTCCTAAACCCCTTCCCCTTGTATGTACTTTCATATTTCTAAACAATTTGATTATATTTCCTTTTTTGTTGGCCATGCCGCCTGGCATGTGGGATCTTAGTTCTCCAACCAGGGACTGAACCTGGGCCCTCAGCAGTGAAAGCACCGAGTCTTAACCACTGGACCACCGTGGAAGTCCCTGTGATTGTATTTCTATTTCCTGACTTTTTTTTTTTCAATTTTAGATAGTACCACTTGTCTCCCACTATAGTTTTCTTACCTTATTGCTCCCAACTCTTCCTTCATCCTCCCCATATAGTTGTATCACTTTTTTGTTAAGTGATTTATTGCTTACACTATTATGACTATAATACGTAATTCACAACTATTTCTATCATTCCTCTGCTATTGTCTCTCTTCCATTTTCTCTCCTTATGGATTTATTCTTTTAAAAAAATTATTTAGGGAATTCCTTGGCAGTCCGATGGTTAGGACTCTGTGCTTTCACTGCCGAGGGCCTAGCTTCCATCTCTGGTTGGGGAACTAAGGTCACACAAGCCGCGTGGTGTGGCCAAATCAATCAATTAATTAATTATAAAAATTATTAATTATTATTAATTATTAATAATTAATTATAAAAAATTATTTGACTTTCATTTTAGTAGAATTTCAGAAAGAAACGGTGATAAGTGCCACCATGTTTTACTTGACATCTGAATAGATATATTTATACTCTTTTGTATTTATAAAAGAGGAAATTATGCCTCTGAGAGGTCAAATTATTTGTCTAAGATCACCTAACTATTAAATGACAGAAGCAATGTTTGACTTCAGGCCTGCCTGACTCCAAAGCTCATGGTCTATTTCTACTATGACAAATGACATTCCAAAATAATTAAAACTCAATTATTCCTGTAACCACATACCTTTTTGCATCAGTTTTGTACCTTGCATTTTAAGTAGGAAAATCATAGTAGCTTTATTTTGTATTGCCCAAACTTCTGACCCGTGGAAATAATGTAAACTACTACAAGTACCAGTAAATAAACTTAACCACATTAATTATCTCAAATTAAGCAAGGGAGGGCAGACAGTAAAATTCAATTAACCAGAAAAAGAGAGGAATAAAACAAAATCATGAAGACAAAGAAAAATAAATGAAAGGATATCCTCTGTGGTAGTGGTCAATTTGTTTTTCTGAAATACCCCTGACCCTCAGCCTTCTGGGCACATGACAGACCTGCACTTTCTGACCCTGCCCCCTCCCCTGTAGTTGGGTGGGGCTGTGTGACTATTTCCAGCCAGTACAGCTGAGTAGAAGTGATACATGGAAGAGCAATGTGAGACCCTCCAGCCCTCTCTTCCCTCTGAGACAGGGACCAGCGATCCTTAAGGTGCTGACTGCTGTGATTGCTATCAACCTGGGACACCAAGTAACAAAATGACCCACAGGATATGCATAAGGCTGTGGATCTTTAAATTTTTTTGTTTTTTATTTAATTTGAAGGAGAGCATGTTTTCAAAGCCACTGAGATTTTTTTTTTTTTTTTAAATACATCTTTACTGGAGTATAATTGCTTCACAATGCTGTTAGGTGTTAGTTTCTGTTGTACAACAAAGTGAATCAGCCATATGCATACATATATCCCCATATCTCCTCCCTCTCAAGCCTCCCTCCCACCCTCCTTATCCCACCCCTCTAGGTGGTCGAAAAGCACTGAGCTGATCTCCCTGTGCTATGCTGCTGCTTCCCACTACAAAGCCACTGAGATCTTGTGTTGTTTACTGCTGCAGCATAACCTGGCCTCTCTGAGCTGATACAGGTGGAATCCAGAAGTGTGGTGCTGCCTCACCAAAAAACCTAAAGTATATGGTGAAGGCTTAGGAGCTGGGTAGAAGGAGGCAAGGAAAAAGTTATCAGAGGCTAAAAGGAGAGCAGCTCATATTGCACAGTGGTGACGAGAGTTAATATGCCATAAAAACTTAGAGCTCTAGTGGGAAAATGGACTATTAAAAGAGTGTGTTGGTTACTCTTGGCTGTATTTGACAAATTATTATTTGAAAAGGATGAATTCAGAAAAGAATCAGTCGGTTTCCAATCATAAAAAAAGGAGTCCAGAAGGTCAGTGATTTGTAGGGTTAGAAGAAGCAGGTGCTTAACACACAACTGAGAAGGTCTCTGAGCTACAAATGCTGATCAGAATTCAGTCTTGAGGCAAGGATCAAGTGAAAGTTTTGGCCTTCACAACCACTGATAAAACCTCCCAACTGATTAAGGCAGTGCTGAATAAAATAGCTTTTCTAAAAAGAGACTAAAGAGAGGTTCTCAAGCAGTCTCTTAGTCTGTTTTGCTATAAAGCACGTTTCTTTGATGTGAATTAGTTCAAATGCTATTAGTAAACAGGGAAATGATGTCAATATAACACAGAAGTCATGTTGGTTTATACGAAATTTTCCTGTTGGAAGTGATCAGGAGAAAGCTTTCCCAAATTAAAAAGAAAGCTTTAGCAATATATGAAAACACTAAGAAAAATGCTAAGCATCCCACTTCTGTACCTTCCTTTAATGCAAGTTGTGGCTGGTTCAGCTGCTTCATGAACCACTGCACTTTCCACTTTATATCTGGTGAAGTTGAGGGTATATGTTTTTCCTCCTGTGTTTAAAAAAGAAAGAAAGTTTTTGATTGCTGAAGCATACACCATACCATAGATCAAATTTTTACTGTAATGAAATTAGTCCTATTATACGTAAATGTCTTCAACACCCCAAAATCTCAGAGGAGGAAACAAGCACCCAGGGGACTGAGTCTGTAAAGCTCCCACCAACTGATGCTGAGTGCATATGCCGCTGGAGATTTAATATGCTACTGTTTTTATTTTAATTAATTTTGCTTTTATTAGTGCACTGGTTACAGTGTTCCACAGCTTTTGAGTGGTCTGCCCAATCCTGTTTTTCCCATAAGCCCTGTTTATTTTAGTGTGCAATTTTTGCAGAATTCAGGAAAGCATATACGGCATTATGGCAGAAATACCTGTATTCAAAATTAAGTCAAGGAAGAAGTATGAGACCAACAAGGCAGAGTTATGCAGCAAATCCATGAAGTATGGCTAGAAAAGACTGGTGGACGTGGCTAGGGCACATGGAGCTGACTGGAAACAAGTAAGTAAAAATCCAACTAAGTTTTTGAGAGTTATACTGCCAAAACGACCACCAGCCTGGGCTTGAGAGCCTATGACTATTCAAACCTCCTTAAAATGATCTTTGGGGTCCCAGGCATCTATGGCAGGAAGTGGACTAAGAAAGCTGTTCGTCCCCTTAAAGGGGTATATTCCTCATTGTCCATTTGGGATACAGCCAAGGAACATAATAGGAAAAAAAGGAGGAGGAGGTCCAATAAGATGGAGCTAGGGGAGCAAAGAAAGAACAGACAAGTTAGCTAAGGAGCCAAGTCTGGGCCTCTTCGAGAACATTCCCCATCCCTGGAGGGGTCCTCTCAATGACTGCTCAGAGGAACTGCAGAATTTGCTGCAGTCCACTGACTGCTATATGTCTCCTGTTCTTCCCCCTTTCAAATGGGACTGTTTATTTTTATCATCCTGTCGCTAGTCACCACTGTATATTGTATGTGACGGCAGCCAATCATTTGCCAATTTCTTTCACAAATCTATGGATCAGAAAGAGCAACATCTGGGCCTGATGTGGAGACTACTATGTGCATCATCTCCTCACGAACAGACCACCAGTCATCACATCCTTGCGTCACTCAGAGATCCTGGACTTCAAGCTTGATGCCATGATTTGATAGGACCTTGGGGTTCCCTACTTGGGGAGGAAGTGAGTGTATTTTGCCTGTGAGAGAGGGTAGATCGACTATCTGGTGACCAAGAGAACAGTGCTGTTTATTATATATTTTCAGCTGTCTCCCTGGCACCAGCAGTGTTGTGCTTCCTGGCCCTGCCTAGTTACATGGGACTACATGACTAGATCTGGCCATCATGTTGCGAAATAAGCAATGTGAATCACTTCTGAGCTAGTGAGAGACCCTCCAGACTTCACTTCCCTCTTAGCATGGTGACCAATAGTGTACAGGAAGGTGGTGGTTCCATCAGCCTGGACCACTGAGTGACACGGGCAGAGCTCCCCTGCTCATCTATCATGGCCACGTAGTGAGAAACAAATCCTTCACTGTTTAAGCCACCTAGATTGGGAGGTGGTTTGTTGCTGCAGCATAACCTAGCTAATGCAGTTCTTTATGAATATGTATTACATATATCGATGGTCTCAGTCTTAAGCTAGACAGCAGAGACAGAATTGCTAGGTGAAAAGTTTAAAAATCAGACAGATGAAGGGATCAATTCACATGGGAATTCTCTACTTAACAAGTTTGAAAATAAGACTTTTCCTTATTTAAAAAATGACAATTAAAGTGCTGTATTCTATTTTTTGGGGGGGCAGGGGCGTGCCGCCCTGCGTGGCTTGTGGGATCTTAGTTCCCCGACCAGGGACTGAACCCGGGCCCCGGCAGTGAGAGCGCTGAGTCCTAACCACTGGACCACTTGGAAATCTGCCCTTTTTTGCTTTATATGATTTTAAATGATGTACACATATATAGGATTACCATATGAACCTGCAGTGGAAGAGCTGAGTCTTAAGCACTGGACCACCAGGGAAGTCCCCCCATATGAACCTGAAAGTGACATCTCACCACTATTAAAATCAGGAAGGCTCATCGAAACACCAATAAATCACACTGTCACAATAGAAGACACCATCTAACTGTTCACTTTGAGACACATACGGGCACTCTGCCCACATTTTACTTTCTTCCTTTGGTTTTGGCACCTTTTCCCTTGTCTGAGTTTTGGTGATAATCTTTCTTTAGTCTCTTTCCAGAAAACTTAAAATATCTCCTAAGGGCACAACAGAGTAACCTTTGCAATACCAAAACCGCATTAGGGAAATTAGAACCTTCCATGTTCCATTATCCAACTCTTCATGCGTATCCTCAGTTCTAACTTACTTATTACAAATCATCTTAGTTTTTTAGAAGACTCTCTAAGTGAATGTATTGAGCTCTAAGAACCTGAAGGTAGACAGAAGAGGCAAATAAGAAATAACCCTCAGTGATATTTAAAGCTGCTTAAATTCATCCCTCTATGGTATTAAAACAACACAAGTTCATCTGTTCTTAAAGATAATTGTCTGAAGTGTCATAAAATAAGTTCCAAAATGAAGTGGGTCATTCCTTAGTGTCTTGCTACAATTAGTGTACACAACTTGGGGGAAAACGTGGTGTGTATGTCAGGGGTTCACCAGCTGAGAAGCAGTCAGTCCTAGTACTGTAAAAGCTGGACCAGCTACTGGGAAGAAAATACAGTTTTTAAAAAAAAGTTAGAACATATGACAGCATATATACAGATAGTAAAGTACAGCTTCCAGAAAGTGCTTTTTTTCAATGCCATTTTTTCCCCACGTGGACCACAAAATAAGTTTATACAGTCTTCAAGAGTGTTTATTAGTTTTAAAAGGAAAACAATTTTGTTCCCTGAGAAGTTTTAATAGTTACTTTCAACAAATTTAATTTTTTTCTATTAAAATATGTACCTAGGCATCCTCCTTGTATGTTAAAAAGACACTATTTTGGACGAGTCTTTGCAAGTTGAAAAGGCAGCCTGGTAAGGTATATCAGTCTGATACCCCTGCTTATTCCACTCCTTCAGAGTCATGGCCCCTGACCTGTTTCCAAAGCTCAAACCACCCATGTACTGCCAGACCTTGGTCCTGCTGAATGGAGAGGTTTCTAAAGCATACAACTACCCATGAGGATCAGGCCAAAACTAAAACCACCAAGAAATGGAAAGAATCAAGGAGGGAAAGATAAATACCTATCAGCAAAGTTCTTTCAAAAAGAAAAACAGATCCACTAGGAAGAACGGACAGGATGACATTTGGGTCTGTGATAGCAATGCACTGGTCTGATACTTTAGTCAAAGCTTTCCTGCTTTTGCTGAGGGCTACTCATTTTTTTCTCATTAGGAAACTATGTCAGTGATACATCTGTCAAATAACAACTAATCTCAAAGTCTTTGGATGGTCAGGTAATTATTTAACAACTACTATCTGCTTACTATGAGTAAAAAAAAAAAAAAACTAGAAATCTGAAAGTTTGGAAGAGACACTGCATGCAGGTGGGAAAATCAGTAAAAGTTTTGTGAAGGATAGTACATTTCAGGAAAACTTCAAGGGCAGGCAGGTTTTAGACTGGCAGAAATGAAGGCAGAAAAGGTCACTTCTAGTAAAGTGAAATTCGAATGGGGTAATAGTGAGGTATATTCTTAAACAAGAGACCGTGTAAGCTGTTTAGTTTTGCTAGCATATAGGGCTTGAGGAAGGGAGAGGTGGCAAGATAGGTGAGTTATTTATTTTATTTTTAAAATAAATTTATTTATTTATTTATTTTTGGCTGTGTTGGGGATCTTCATTGCTGCGCACGGGCTTTCTCTAGTTGCGGCAAGCGGGGTCTACTCTTTGTTGTGGTGCGCGGGCTTCTCATTGTGGTGGTCTCTCCTATCGCGAAGCATAGGCTCTAGGCGCGCGGGCTTCAGTAGATGCAGCACGTGAGCTCAGTAGCTGTGGCTCACGGGCTCTAGAGCGCACGCTCAGCAGTTGTGGCGCACGGGCTTAGTTGCTCCGTGGCATGTGGGATCTTCCCAGACCAGGGCTCGAACCTGTGTCCCCTGCATTGGCAGGTGGACTCCCAACCACTGAGCCACCAGGGAAGTCCCAATAGGTGAGTTATTGCCATATCGTGGCCAACCTTGAAGGCTGGACTGAAGAGTTTGTCGTTAATATGGATGACAAGATAGAGCATCAAAGGTTTTTAAGGAAGGAACTAATATAATTAGAGTTGTGTTTTAGGGGTCAAATTACATGACGACAAACAATTGTAGACCTATATGTAAGTATATCTTTGAAACATATATATGATAAAACAGATATACAATTAAGCAAAATAGAATAAACTTAAAATAAGTAAAGAAATTGAAGTAGAAAAGGAGTAGGAAAATAATACCAGGAATTAGGATAAAAACAAAATAAAAGCACAAACGATTTTACACTAAATCCTATATTAGTACTGACTAAAATAAAATTTAAAATATCCAAATTGTAATTCTAAAAAGTTCTCTACAAGAATGCATTCCTTATGAAACAATTAATTTCCCTACCTAGTAATTAAACTAAGTTTAAGACTCATGTCCACACTAAAACCTTAATTTTGTTTTTTTGATAATACAGTAGGTTCTACTTTCAGTAGGCCTAAAATAAATGAAATCTCACCATGTCCTGTCTCTTCCTTAAAAACAATCTGTAAAAGCAGCCACTATGGAAAACAATATGGAGATTCCTCAAATAATTAAAAATAGAACTACCATTCGATCCAGCAATTCCACTCCTGGGTATATATCCAAAGAAAACTCCTATGTTCAATGTAGCATTATTTACAATAGCCAAGAAATGTAAGCAACCTAAGCGCCCATCAACAGTTGAATGGAGGAACTTCCCTGGCGGTCCACTGGTTAAGACTCTGCGCTTCCATGGCAGGGGGGCACAGGTCCAATCCCTTCTCAGGGAACTAAGATCCTGCATGCCATG